AATTTTTATTAATTTTTATTTATTTTTATTAATTTTTATTATTTTTTATTATTTTTTATTAATTTTTATTAATTTTTATTAATTTTTATTAATTTTTAATAATTTTTATTAATTTTTATTAATTTTTATTAATTTTAATTAATTTTTATTAATTTTTATTAATTTTTATTAATTTTTATTAATTTTTATTAATTTTTATTAATTTTTATTAATTTTTATTAATTTTTATTAATTTTTATTAATTTTTATTAATTTTTATTAATTTTTATTAATTTTTATTAATTTTTATTAATTTTTATTAATTTTTATTAATTTTTATTAATTTTTATTAATTTTTATTAATTTTTATTAATTTTTATTAATTTTTATTAATTTTTATTAATTTTTATTAATTTTTATTAATTTTTATTAATTTTTATTAATTTTTATTAATTTTTATTAATTTTTATTAATTTTTATTAATTTTTATTAATTTTTATTAATTTTTATTAATTTTTATTAATTTTTATTAATTTTTATTAATTTTTATTAATTTTTATTAATTTTTATTAATTTTTATTAATTTTTATTAATTTTTATTAATTTTTATTAATTTTTATTAATTTTTATTAATTTTTATTAATTTTTATTAATTTTTATTAATTTTTATTAATTTTTATTAATTTTTATTAATTTTTATTAATTTTTATTAATTTTTATTAATTTTTATTAATTTTTATTAATTTTTATTAATTTTTATTAATTTTTATTAATTTTTATTAATTTTTATTAATTTTTATTAATTTCTATTAATTTTTTATTGAATTTTTTTACTTATTATTTTTTTTAATTTTTATGAATTTGTATTAATTTTTAATAATTAATTTTTATTAATTTTTTATTAAATTTTTTTACTTTTTATTCATTTTTTTTAATTTTTATGAATTTTTATGAATTTTTATGAATTTTTATGAATTTTTATGAATTTTTATGAATTTTTATTAGTTTTTATTAGTTTTTATTAATTTTTATAAATTTTTAATAATGTTTAATTAATTTTTATTACTTTTTATTGATTTTTACTAATTTTTACATTTTTTATTAATTTTTACTGTATTTTATCAATTTTTATTCTTTTTAATTGTTTATTTTTTATCTATTTATTTGTATTTATTTATTTTTATTAATTTTTATTTATTTCATTATTTAGTTTTACGATATTCCCCATTTCCCCATCCTTAAAATGTGAAAATCCGAAAACCTTGATACAATTTCAATTTCGTACCTTTAAAAACGCGATACCCCTATACAAACTTTCCCACCTTTCTTTTCTTCCTTCTCTTTTCCCCTTAAAATATAATCCAAAATCCCTGAAACACACCATTATTTATTTGTGATAAGTAGCTATAATTCCAATTTTCAAGTTCCTACCTTTAAAAAAATTTTTAACCCACGTTTCCATCCCTTAAAATGTGTAAAATCCAAAAACACCGAAACACGCCATTATTTATTTATGCTCAGTATCTGTATTTCAAATTTTTATGTTTCACTACTACTATGTAAAAAATCATATCTGTGAAAAAGAAAAACAAATCTATCCCACGGGAACAGTATATTTTGCGGGATAAAAAGTAGCATATGTGGTATTCCAGACTATAATCTATCTTTGAGTCAAATTTCATCCAGATCCGTTCAGCCGTTCTTGCGTGATTGAGCAACAAACATCCAAACCAACTTTCGCATTTATATATTAGTAGGAAGTGAAAGGAAAATGCAGGAATCCCACATAAAATGATAAAAAAAAAAAACAAAAAGAAAAATGGGGCAATATGGGAATATTGGAAATATTGATAAAAAAAATACCGGATATAATATACAATTTTGATAAATATCGTATATAGGATGATACTTTTTTTAACTACGTGTAGAAGTTATTAAAATAAACAACTTTTGAAAAAAGCAACAAAAATAAGAAACTTACAATATGGTCCTGTAAATAGTGTTTTCAAAGTTTTCACCATTCACTGAAGTGTTGAACCACAAGGTAAACCGTTCAGTATAGTTCTGTACAACACCGATGAAGAACTTTGATGCATATGCATTTTGAAGACACTCGCCATAAAAGCAACATAATAATTTTCTCCAGTTCATCGTCATATTAAGAGGGTTAAGTTTTTACAATCGAACACTAGGTGGTGGCGTTAATGAGTTGTGGCACCACTGTCCTGCTGTTCTGTATATCACCTTGGTTAACTCGGTTAGTAAAATCGCGTTCCGTAAATGTCAAATTCCTGAAAATTGTAGATTTACGGGACAATGAACTTTCATCGGTTGTTATGGTTGACGTAGACATTTGTGATAATCATGTGTCATATCAGTTAAATTTGTTTTGGACTTTTTTAATTTTGGAAGAAGAATATTTTAACAAACGTAAAAACATCAAAAACTGATATACAGTATGGTTCAAATGAAAGGAATAAATTCATTATAATGGAAGTAGCTGGTTTTTCGAAAAAATGCTCGGACAGGTCAATTTTGTTTACTTAAAGCGCAATGTTTTAAATAAAATTCAATTTTCCCCCACTTCCCATTTTTGGGCAGTGACGTCATTGACAATTTTTTTAAATAGCAACCCCAATTTTTTTTGCTTGATTTTGATAGATCTTGCAATTTCCTACTCGGAAACATAATATTTGAAATATCTGACATAACAATTTTTTTTTAAAAAAAGTAATTTAAAGATCAGATACATAAATTTTATTTTATTTTGAAACACAATAAATAAATAAAAGATAATTATTTCTAATTAAGTGCTTAATCTAAAAAAATAATAAAAAGAATTTAATGACAATTTCACAAATTCTTTTTATTATTATTTTGTTAGATTAAGCATTTAATTACAAATAATTATCTTTTATTCATTTATTGTGTTCTCAAAATAAAATAAAATTCATGTGTCTGATCTTTAAATGTCTTCTATTAAAAAAAAAATTGTTATGTAAGATATTTCAAATATTATGTTTCCGAGTAGGAAATTGCAAGATCTATCAAAATCAAGAAAAAAAAATTGAGGCTACTATTTAAAAAAAATTTCAATGACGTCACTGCCCAAAAATGGGAAGTGGGGGAAAATTGAATTCTATTTAAAAAATTGCGCTTTGAGTAAACAAAATTGACCTGTCCGAGCATTTTTTCGAAAAACCAGCTACTTCCATTATAATGAATTTATTCCTTTCATTTGAACCATACTGTATAGTTCAAGTTCATAAATAGAAAAGCCATCCAAACATCAACATCCAACAAAAAATGCATTGATTTGACATGAGATATTTGACATTTACAACAAGCGTGCCGTAAATATTTCACTTACCAAAACCAAAAAAGAAACCGTCCTGAAAACGCTAGTAACCGCTTTAACCACACCGGTAATATTCGGTGATATACGGAACACACGGCTAGTTTGTGAACATTGACGTTTGTTATTGCGAAGCCAGTGGTAATTTATAAATTGACTGAGTAAGTTGTTGATAGTGAACGTTTAAAAGAAGCAAGTTTGTGCAAAAATGGAAATCACCCGTGAAGGCTTACGTTGGATGATTTTTTATGATTTTAAAAAGGCCTTACTCAACAACAATGCATAGAATCGCTTCGTGCAACTTATGGTAATGAAGCACCATCAGAGAAGACTGTTTACAATTGTTTTGCAGAATTTCGTCATGGTCCTGCGCCCGTCAGTGATGAATGTCGAGAAGGTCGGCCAAAATCGGTTGTCATTCCGACAAACATCGATGCTTTGCGCAACAAGATTAAAGAAGATCGGCATGTGACTTACAGATAGATAGAGGCGTCTCTTAGAATATCGCAATACAATCGGTTTTGCAAGAACATTTAGGTGTGAGAAAGATATGTTCCATATGGATTCCACATAATTTGACCGAAGCGTAAAAAAATGGTCGTGTTGATTGGTGTCAGGAAATGTTGAAAACATTCGACTGAGGACGTTCAAAATCCGTATACAACATTGTTACAGGAGAAGAAACTTAAATATATTCGTACGAACCTGAAAGCAAACAACAGTCTACTGTTTGGGTGTTTAACGATGAACCCAATCCCACTAAAGTTCGTTCACGGGGTACTTCCAAGAAAATGATCACTTGTTTCTTCGGTTGTACTGAACACGTCGCAACCATTCCATTAGAGGATCGAAGAACTGTTAATGCCGAATGGTATACAACAATTTGTTTGCCAACGGTCTTCGATGAAATAAGAAAAAAGAACAAAAAACGTCGCATCATTCTTCATCACGACAATGCCAACTCACATAAAGAACGTCAAACAACTGAATATTTAAAAGGGAAAAACATCGAATTAATGTATCATTGGCGGTATTCACCCGATTTATTGTCTATTGACTTTTTCTTGTTCCCCACTGTCAAACAAAAGATGCGCAGACAGCGATTTTCATCACCTTAAGAAGCTGTTGAAGACTTTCAAAACCATGTTTCTACGATATCAGCTTCAGAGTGGAAACAATTTTACTAGAATTGGTTTTAGTGTATGCAAAAATATATAGACCCTAAAGGCGAATATTTCGAAAAGCAATAAAACACTTTGTTTCGAACTTGTTCGTTTCTGTTTCACTTTTTGTAAAAACTTAAAAGGCAACCCTCGTATAAACCTTCTACTGAGCACCCAAGTAAATTACAATCACCAGTGAAGTGTGTGATTCACAATAAAAACCTAAAAAAGTTAAAAATATAAAAACGAAAAGATATTTAGCGTATTTTTAGATTTAGATTATTTAATTCTCTCTTTCTTATTTTTGAGTTATTTTTAAGGAAAGATTTTTGAGAATTATGCTTATTATACACAGTTTAAAAAGTATCAACTTAGAATTCACCATATATATTCGATATATTTTTGGCATTTTGGCAACCCAGTTTTATTTAGTCTACAGACCCCGCCTACCCAATATAATTTGAATTCTTTTTCATTTCTATATATAATATACTTTAAAATACCTTTACAAAATATTAACTTGCCCGTGTTCATTGGGTACACAAACAATATCTTTCGGATAATAAATAATTCTAAAACTAACTACGTTCATTTGCTTGAAAATTTTCAATACGACTAATCATTTCCTTAATGTCATTAACAATTTCAATAATCGGCGTTTCACTTTTACAATCGGCAGTCTCGATACCAGCACCATCGTGAAACCTTTTTATGTGCGTTCTTAACTGATAAGGTGAAACGTTCATGTAATGACAATTTGGACACTGCAACTGTATAGGAGAATGTGTAAAGATATGTTTTCTGTAATTACTGCGATCTTTGGAGTTATAGGAACAAAAATCACATTTATAATTTGCATTAATGGTTTCTTCATGTTTCATCATATGCCTATTTAAATTGTGTTCGGTGGCAACCGCCATATTACAGATATTGCAACAGAATTGTTTACCAGATTCCACATCAGGTTTTTCCTCGTGGTTTTTCCTTACATGGCGGCGAAGACATGATTTGTCAGTACTTCGGTATGTACAGAACTCACAATGGAACCAAACTGATTTAGTATGCATGGTATTAATATGTTTATTTAAAGCGTAAGTCCTATTTGTAATATGCGGACAGTGAGGACATTTTACAACATTTTTCTTAGCTCTTTTACACCTTTCTTTGTGCTGTTGATATAATGTTTCGGATGTGGTGAGATACATGCATGCACAGTTGAAGATTTTTGTTATATTTTTAGGTTGTACCATACTCGTATCTCTATTTTCTTCATTATGAATTTGATTGACTTCGATACTACCGACCTCTGGAATATACTCAGGAAAATCTTCTGGAATATCCTCGTCCATGTCAATCTGGATATCTTCTAATGATGGATCACTGGAATTAATTAATTTATACACTTATAATAATTGAAAATTCTCATTTTCACAGTGAGTCTGTAGTGATAATTTCTTACATTGATTCTTATTAACGTTTCACCAGTCTGGTTATTGTTTTCTGATGGATGAAGTCAAGGTAAACGATAATAGTTACGATATATATTTACTGACTAATTACGAGATACTTTTATAATGCATTAATGAACCTTATCGAAATAGCACTATAGACTCACTTATAAAAATTATTCATTTAACAGTTATAACGTCACAAAGCAAGGTATTTAAATTATTATTATCACTTAGATGACATTTATGTAGACTAATATTATAATTTTTCTAGTTCAGAGATTTTGGTCCAACTTTCATTTAGCAAAATCTGTTGTCATAATAACAATTGTGATGGCTATGAGTAAACAAAAACCCTGATCTCATGGTGAGGAAATGCATAGTTGCCAAGTTGTAAATGATTACGGTTTTTGTTTAATTTCATTTAGCTGAAATCAGTTATGCAAAAAATGTTGCCACGGACACGCTTGTCATGTTACCGACTAAACAAAAACCCAAATCTCGTGGTGGGGATATGCGTAGTTGCCAAGTTATACTGTAAAAGGTCTTTACAAAAACATACCACATATTCCTTAGACCAAAATAAGTCGATTTAAGTAAAATTACCTTAGTACAAAGTTGCTTCGTTTGGGCTCCAGAGGGCCTTGAATTTACAATTTTTAAATCGTTTTTCCCATATAAATTTAAAACGGCATATGCGATTTTGCTGAAATTTGGTATATTGGTTTTTATGTAGCAAAAAAAAATGGTATTAAAATTTTGTCCGATGATAATAATACATAGGCGTAGAACTTGATTTTTTAAATAATTGCACCTTTAAAAATTCTACGCCAATGAAAGAAAAGGAGTTTGAGTATGAAATTTAGATTGCGCAACTCATTTACTTTAAAAAAGGTACTCTTGATAAGACTCGATTATTCCCATGGTTTTGACGAAATTTGCATTTTAGTAATTTTAGAACATAAACAATAAAATTATTAGAATACAAACTTTGTCAAAACCATGAGAGTAAATAGAATGTTATCAAGGGTACTTTTTTGTAGTTTAATGAGTACCCAATCCAAATTTCATACTCAAACCACTTTTCTGCCATTGGCGTAGAATTTTTAAAGGTGCAATTATTTAAAAAAATCAAGTTCTACGCCTATGTATTATTATCGGACAAAATTTTATACGATGAAAAACATAAAAATGTACTTTTTTCATATCTTCTTCACACCTCTAATCGAGACTTTTAACAAAAATACTCGATCCTTGCCATGTACGATTTTTTGAGGAATATTAATTATTTGCCTGCAATACGTATACAAAAACATTTATTGTTGGTTTCCATAGTTTCATTTAAATAAAAATATTGTCAAGTTTTAACACCTAATCTCTTGTTAACGATTAAAAGTGTTCTATCTGACTCAATAATTAAAAAAACAAATGCGTGGTTTATTAATATGGCTGTACAATATACCAATGCAGAATATACCGATATGTTACTGACATTAGAATTTTGTGAAGGAAATGCTCGAGAGTGTCAGGGTGTACTCTGAAAGGTTTCCAAATCGTCTATACCTAGCCACCCAACTTTTGCTGCTGTTGAGAGACGTCTTCGGGAGACCGGTTCCTTTGCTCCCAACACTGTTGATAATGGAAGAGAACGTTTTGTAAGGATTCCTGAAGTTGAACAAGACATTTTAGAACGTGTTGAAGAAGATCCAGAATTAAGCACCAGACGAATTGGAAGGGAACTAGGAGTAAGTAAAGATGTCGTTCATAAAGTGCTTAGAGAACAATTGCTATATCCGTACCATAAGAAGCCAGTACAAGAATTATTAGTCCATGATCCTCAAATTCGTTTGGGTTTTTGTCGATTTGTTAATATGCAAAGAGAAAGAGATCCAAACTTTATCAAGAAGGTTCTCTTTACCGATGAAGCGGGTTTTACAAGAAGAGGTATAACTAATACCCATAATGAACATGTTTATGCCGTTGAAAATCCGCATGCAATAAAGGTAAACCATTTTCAGCACGAAATCAAAATTAATGTGTGGGCTGGAATAATTGGTAATTTCATTGTTGGTCCTGTCATACTTCCATGAAGATTAACTGGAGAAAATTATTTGGATTTTCTACAAAATACGTTGCCAGAATTGTTAGAAGATTTACCTCTCCAACTTCGGAGAGATATGTGGTTTATGCAAGATGGAGCTCCACCACATTTTTCTTTAAACGTTAGAAACCACTTGAATGAACAATATCCACACAAATGGATAGGCAGAGGTAATGATGCACCTGTAAACTGGCCACCACGTTCCCCAGACCTAACACCGATGGATTACTTTTTATGGGGACATCTGAAATCCACAGTTTACAGGGAACCTGTAGAAAATGAGGAAAAACTCTGGCAACGTATTCAAGATGCAATAAACAATCTTAGAGGTGATGAAGAAGTTATGGAAAGGATACATTTTAATTTTCTTCGACGTATAAACCTTTGTATGCGTGAAAATGGTGAACATTTTGAACAATTTTTGTAAAATCTCTATTTTGATTATGTTGTAAATAAATATTTTTGTGAAACCTATACACTCTAAATTATTAAAACAGAAATTTAGCGAAAACCATGAGAGTAATCGAGTCTTATCAAGAGTACCTTTTTTAAAGTAAATGAGTTGCGCAATCTAAATTTCATACTCAAACTCCTTTTCTTCCATTGGCGTAGAATTTTTAAAGGTGCAATTATTTAAAAAATCAAGTTCTACGCCTATGTATTATTATCGGACAAAATTTTAATACCATTTTTTTTGCTACATAAAACTCTACCAATATACCAAATTTCAGCAAAATCGCATATGCCGTTTTAAATTTATATGGGAAAAACGATTTAAAAATTGTAACTTCAAGGCCCTCTGGAGCCCAAACGAAGCAACTTTGTACTAAGGTAATTTTACTTAAATCGACTTATTTTGGTCTAAGGAATATGTGGTATGTTTTTGTAAAGACCTTTTACAGACACCCTGTAGATTATTTAATGTTCATTTTAGTTTAGCCGAAATCAGTTAGGGAAAAACTGTTTTCATGGAAACGCTTGTCATGCTAACGACTAAACCAAAATCCAAATCCGTGTTGTAAAGTTTGAAATACCCTCCTTTTTATGATGCACCTAGCGCCCTCTCTTGCTTACTTTTTGAATGTCATGTTTTATAGGACGAAATAGATCCTCCATGAGTAAGTCGTAATATAGTCGTTGCCGAAGAACAAGTGTGGTACTATTTTAAACCTACGAAGTTTCCCATTTTTAACAGGTTATGGGCCCAGACCATATCTAGACACTCGCGTTTTAGAAAAAACTAAGTGTATTTCCACGTTAAATCGGAAACAGTCGTGTAGTTTGTTCAGTTTCGTGCAAAAAATGTCGGTAAACTTTTTAACCAGTGTCCTGAAACTCGTCGGGCGGGAAAATTACGATGAATGGGCATTTGCAGTCGAAAACTTTTTCGTTCTCGAAGGTCTGCTGAAGTGCATAGAAGGTACCGAAACCGACGCGGCCGTAGTAGCAAGAGCAAAATTAATTTTGACCATAGATCCATCTTTATATGTTCACGTAAAGGACACAACCACGTGCCGAGATGTTTGGTGCAAAATTAAGAATCTCTACGCAGACACGGGGTTTACAAGAAAAATTGGATTGTTGAGAAGTCTCATATCATTACGATTGGACAATTGTGAATCCATGGAAAGCTATGTGAACCAGGCGATTGAAACATCCCAATGGTTGAGAAAAACCGACTTCGACATTACAGAAGAGTGGATTGGCTCTTTGCTGTTAGCTGGGTTACCAGACAAATATTCTCCGATGTTGATGTCGATCGAGCATGCAGGAATCTGCATCACTACAGATATCATCAAAAGCAAGTTCCTCGATATGGTAACAGATAGCAGTAGCAAAAGCAAAGGAAGTGCGTTCATCACGAAAAGTAACTTTAGAAAAACCTACCAAGTTTCCCATTTTTAACAATCCGGCAGTGAGGAAATGCGTAGTTACCAAGTTATAGATTATTTAATATTCACTTTAGTTTAGCTGAAATCAGTCATGAAGAAACTGTTGCCATGGTAACGCTTGTTATGTTAACGACTAAACAAAAACCCAAATCTCGTGTTGTGGAAATGCGTAGTTGCCAAGTAGTGGTTAGTAGGTGGGTGGAACGAGCGTAGCGTGATCTTATGATGTAGGTGGAAAAAGGGCGCGCTCAGCCGACGTTTCGAAATTCGCGCGCGCGAATTTAGAAACGTCGGCCGGGCGCATTCGTTTCGCTCACTTTCCTGTGTACTGGTTAAAAGGTGGATGGGAGGAGCGTAGCGTGATCTTATAATTTAGTTGGAAAAAAGGCACGTCGGCTAGGCACGCTCTGTAGTAGTTAGGTTGTGGGTGGGAGGAGCGTAGCGTGATCTTATGGAGAAACTGTTGCCATGGAAACGCTTGTTATGCTAACGACTAAACAAATCCCGTAGTGAGAAAATGCCTAGTTGCCAAGTTATAGATTCTCACTTTAGTTTAGATTAGGATATTGTATGAGGCAACTACGTATTTCTTCACCACCGGATTTAGGTTTTTTAGTCGACACACGACAAGTGTCCCTATGGCAACGGTTTCTCCATAACCGATTTCAGCTAAACTAAAGTGAAAATTAAATGACCTGTAACTTGCCAACTATGCATTTTCTTACAACGGGATTTGGATTTTTGTTTAGTCGTTACCATGACAAGTGTCTCTATAACAACAGTTTCTCCGTAACTGATTACAGCTAAATTAAATCATCTGTAACTTGGCAACCACGCATTTCCTCACCACGAGATTTGGGTTTTTGTTTACTGATTACTATGGCAAAGGTTGCCATAGAAACAATTTTAACGTAACTGATTTCGGCTAAACGAAATTTGACCCGAGATTTTTTCATTTCAGATATTTTAATAAAAGTTTCATAAAACTGAAATGTCAGAGTCATAGCTCTCAGAAACTCTAGATACCGCATCGTGAAAAAATAAATATTAGAATTTGTTTCTTGGCAAAAATAATACCGTTTTTATAGATAGTGTTGAGTTTAAAGGTTTAATTTGATTTCATTAATAAATATTAGAATTTGTTTCTTGGCAAATATAATACCGTTTCTTTATAGGGAATAGAATTTTATTTAAATAATAAATGATAGGATTTAATTCTGTAATATTGTAAAACCGGGGATTTAGACTTTTGATCGTTAGTCTGTACTAAGAAATTAATTTTTTTTCTTTTGGTAGGTTTAATCGGGAATTAAATTTGATTTTATTGATAAATACTTTTGTTTAGTAAGTGCTGCGTTGTAACTAAGTTGGGAATATTTATAAACGTAGTGTTCGAGGAAACGTTTTCCTTTTTTTAATATTTTGTTTATTCTTTTACCGTATATTTAAATAAGCTTAAATAGCATCCTGTTCTGTCTGAACGGGCTCGTGATGACGATCAGTTCACTCTTGGAGTAGGTGCTATCCGCGTTATTTTTTTTAATTAATCTGTAAACCGCAAATTTAAATAATCTTAAATAGTATCCTGTCCCTGTCTGAACGGGCTCGTGATGACGACCAGTTCATTCTTGGAGTAGGTACTATCCGCGTTAGTAATTTTCTTCCCTCCGACAATAGTTTTGTTTTTTTCTTTCACCGTCAATTTAAATAACTTTAAATAGTATCCTGTCCCTGTCTGAACGGGCTCGTGATGACGATCAGTTCATTCTTGGATTAGGTGCTATCCGCGTTAGTTTTCTTATTCCGTTTGTACTCGTGCAAACTGCAACTTACAGAAATCAAAAATAGCTTCATTACCCTGTCTGAGCGGGCTCATGATGACGATCAGCTCATTCTGGGATAATAGGCTACCCCGGGTATAAATTTATTTTTATTTTCTTTGCGTATATTTACTATAAGTAATTCTTTCGCATCCCTGTCTTCTCGCACTCTCTATGACCGTTTAGCTAATTTTTCCTCACCGAAATAGTAAAATACCTACATTTTAGTTTAATTCCCGACACCACAGTTAAACAGTTAATTACCGAGTAAATAGCCAAGTTAATAATTTTTTTTCTCTGCGACCACATACATGTTATTTTAATTCAATTTTGACGTCTGATTGAGACTAGTCGCGATTCAATACCGTCCGTTTTGTTTCTTTATTTTTTTTTTTTTGTTTAGGGTTATATTGACTATCACCACAACTGGGGTGGGCGTTGAAATAATATTTTTTTTATGTTGTAAATAGTTCAAAACAATATATGTGTCAATGTTAACTTGCCGTATTACTGGTTACTAATTCCATACTTTATTTCCCCCTTATATTTTAGCTAGTGATAAATTCTATACTAGCCCAAGCAACGATTAACGCCTGTTACTTGTGGCCTACTATTACCTGTGTCTAAGTGACCTCTGATCCCTGGAATTTCTCCATCTGTAGCTACCCGAGTACTTTCGACGCCGTTTCGAAAGTTGTGGAGTAACCCATCACCAAAAATCTGACGCTCGAGATCCGCCCGTAACCAGCGTCATTCGTAAGGAACCGTTTTCTCTGTGGCGAGAAAACCCCTTACAATATAAATAAAACAAACATGGTCAACTTGACAATAAACAATTAAATACAGTTTTTTAAAACTGGTAATTTTTAACTTTGTAAATACTCATCTTTTGTTTCCCTACTTTATCGTTATTGTGTTAAAACAAATCAATATTATTTCGAATACGCCTTCACACGCTGAAACAGAAAGATGGGGTTTCTGTTATTTTAAAAATTTTTAAACTGTAATCGTCCCCATGTGTTTAAAAAAAAAAATAAATTTTGACTGCACCCGAAGATGGAAACAAAGTTTTTCGAAAGATAAATAGTGCTGTGCTTACAATAGAAAATAAAATTAATGACCGAATAAACCAAGTAACTTTTTATTTATATAAAATTCTGCTACGGTCAGGAAATTATCCTTATTCAAATTAACGAAAATTGTGTATGGAGACTATAGACGTTTAATATTTAACCGTTCTCGTAGGAAACACATTGACACCACCACAAAACACCAAAATTAATAAAACGTAAAATGCCCAACGAATTGCTTTTCCCAATATTCCCAACCGAAATCAGAGACCACAGCCCGAACGCAACCGAGGCCGTTTCGTGTCGTGATACTGGCGATCGATAGTAGCGACTGGCGGTTAACATGCGATGATCAAAAAATGCCGACTACTCGTAAAATAATACTCGTATTTTACAAGTACATTCTACGAGTAGATTTAAATTTACTTGTAAGTACGAGGAATAAGTACTTAAAATAAAAAATACTTATAAGTAAAAATTACGAGTATTTATTCTACTCGTAATCGAAATACGAGTAAAAGTATTCGAGTACTTGCCCAGCTCTGGTGCTTTTAAATGACATTTAAGCGGGTTAAACTGTCACTAATCGGACTAAACCGAACGATAAAAGGGTCGTTTGGAGTAAAAAGTGTTAAAGGAACTTGGCAGAACGAACGCAATGTGGTATACCTTTAGACACAAATAAAATATTTTAATGATACTTACATAGAATTATCCAGCGTTGCATCTTCAGTTTCATAATTTTTATCATCTGAGTTTTCTAACATAGAATCTTTAAAATTTGATTTAATTTTATAAGGTACTGTAATTTTGTACCTTGGTATTTTTATAACCAACCTGCGGTCACTCTCAATTGGATGATAGTTAATTATTTGTGTATTACTTTTCTCAGAAAAATTACACTTATTTTCTGTTTTTTTAATATTTTCGTTGACTGTATCTATTTTTAAGTCGTTAATTTTACTAATACTATTTTCATCAGCTATATTGGAAGATTCTCGATTGGATGATATTTCAGATTCATTATTAGACGTTGAAGATTCCACGATATTATGTTGGATTGGAACGTTTGAAGACTGAATAGGCGGTAAAGTGAATCCATTGGTAGTGTTTAGAGATGGAGCTTCCAAATGGGACATTAACATTGGAGATCGCAATGGTTTAGCAAGACCTACAATAAAACGTTTTTGCTATAATGTAGTAATTTAAAGAAACGTTAGCAGATAGTTAGCTTAACATAAATACATACTGGTTAGCGAAAAAGTCTGGCAACAAGGTATTTTCTTTGAAACAAATGAATGTATAATTATTATGAAGTAAGATGATGAATGTGATTGTATTTTATTTATTTATTTCTTTTATAAACTGTTCTACAGGAAATTCCCAATTAAAGAACAGGTAAAATATGACAAAACACATATATCAGCAAATTACAATATAAAAAATTATAATATAAAAATTACAAAACAGAATATAGATTTAAGAAGAAAAAAAACAGACTATTTAAAACGATAAAATAATCACAAAAGCAAATGTTTTATGTCCAAAATTCTAATGTTAAATATATCCAACTCAGAATTTATGCTATTGCAATTACTACTCATGACATATAATGGAGATTTGCTTAAAATTTTGCATTTTTAAAAGGACACGTCAACTGTATATCCCAGATAATCAGAATTCATAATGCTCCAGACGATCGAATGATTCTTTGTTTAGTATCGTGTCACTTAGTAATTCAAATTTCGTTGGGGAATTTGACATTTGGCACTTTGGCGGTAATTAATCCAATGGGGTTGAATACTATGGAGATGACATGCCAAAAAAACGACACCCCTTCCCCTCTCTTAGTGGTCATGTCATAGTTGTCAAAGAGCTGTCAGAACTTTGTTCAAATTTAAATATTTCGACGTTATTTCTATCTTAATAAGTGTTTTTTTTTTATTAATTTGTATAAAAATCATGACTAAGTGTGCCAAAATTAATTGTAAAAACTCTTCAGTGAAAGAGCGTAAGAAAATATCTAATTTAAGTTTTCATAAGTAAGTATAAGGAGTGTACTTAGAATTTTTTTTAGAATGCTTAACTTTTTTTTATTATAGGTTTCCAAAAGACCCACAATATCTCAAAATTTGGTCTAAATTTGTGGGAAAAGACCAATTTGAGCCTAAACCGAATAGCATGTTGTGCTCTATTCACTTCAAGGAAGAATTTTTTGATAAGAGTGAGTTTAGGGTTAAATGAATGTTTAGTTAGTATACACTTTATTTACAATAAAACTTAAATAACTAACTTAATAAAGAACATTGGCTTGACTAACTTTATAATAAAGACAAATAATTATATTAAAACTTAGATAACTATAATAAAACTTAAATAACTAACTTTATAATTAAACTTAAAAACCAACTATAATTAAACTTAAAAACCAACTTAAAATTAAACTTAAAAACCAACTTATAATTACACTTAAATGACTAACTTTTTAAGTAACACATAATTTAGAATAAAATTTCAAGTATTTAAAAGCAGTTTTTATTAGATCCTAATTTCCTATTATTATACCGTTTTGATAATGAATATACTGTATAATAATAAATACTGGTGATGTTTTTTTATTATTTAATTAGATTTGTGGCCATCACTCACTGCTATGTACCTCCTCATCCTCATGATATAAAATAATATGCCCGCTCATGTACCACATTACAATTATTATTAATATTAAATGAACAAACATTAAATTGATGTTCCTTAATTTAAAAACCTGCCGACTTTGTTCACAATACACAATAAATATAATTTAAAACATATTACGAAGTTAATATTTAAAAATTAGTAGTTTTGGAACTTAAACTAGTAGTTTTTGTATCATGGATCTATATTTAAGGCTTTATAACATACCAAATCTTGTTCCAGACTAACCCATCCATACCTACACCTCCTCCTCCAAAAATCAGGATCCTATCAAATATTCTTATTAAACCAACAAATCAAACCAGTCAGATAGAATTACCTGTACCCTCTACTTCTTCTCTAAATATTCCATATGAAGAACCGCTGACGCCAAAGAAACAAAAAATATTACATACACTCTCCTCTGTCCGGGCAACAAGTGCAAAAAGAAAGCAAAAATTAAAATTGTTAAGACGACAACTTTCTCGAAAAGTGAATAAAATTGCCAACTTAAAAAATATATTAAATGATTTAAGTAAAAAACGTTTGATACAGGAAGATGAGTTAGATATAATGTCAAAACTTGGGGGCCCCATCGAGATATGTAGCAGGCAATTAAAAAAAAGTCTAACCTACCATTGCCTAAGAAGTATTCAGAAGAGCTAAAAGTGTTTTCCTTAACTCTCCACTATTACTCACCTGCTGCTTATAATTATGTAAGAAGAACATTTGACACTTGCTTACCACATGTCCGTACAATCAGTCGAAGTGAGGCTTTTAATGCCCTACAGATTAAATCAAATTCCTCAAATGAAAAAATAATTTGTGCACTTATTATGGATAAAATGGCCATTCGTGAACATGAGGAGTTTGTTGGAAGCGAACGTAGAAGTTATGGTTGTGTAGATGTAGGAACGGGTGCAAATGAAACTACGCTTGCAAACAATGCTCTTAATAAATTGTGTAAATGGAAGCTGGAAAATTCCAGTAGGATATTTTTTCATTTCAAGTATGACAGGTGAACAGAAAAAGGGGCTGGTATTAGAATGCTTAAAGAAATGTTATGAAGTAGGTGTTAGTGTTGTAAGTTTAACATTTGATGGTGCTTCTAATAATCTAACAATGGCCAAACTCTTGGGCTGTAATTTACATCATACAACTTTAAAAACTAGTTTCAAGCATCCATCAAGTAATGAAGAAATTGTTAATTTTTAGATCCGCCACATATGCTAAATTTAATTAGAAATACTTTAGCAGAAAAGTATTCATTTGTAAATGAAGAAAATAAAATTGTTGAGTGGAAGTATTTCAAACAACTTCACGAATTACAGGAAAATGAATCTTTCCACTTAGCAAATAAGTTAAACTCGCAACATATAGCTTTTAAAAAACAAATAATGAAAGATCGTCTTGCAACCCAACTATTTAGCGAAAGCGTCGCAACTGCCTTAGATTTTTGTGCGAACGTTCTACATATTGAAGATTTTAAAAATGCTGGGGCAACAATTAATTTTATTAGAAAAATGAACATTCTGTTTGACATCCTGAATTCACGAAATCTTTTGCAATTCAATTATAAGAAACCTCTATCTGAAAATAATTACAATAATACATGTATTTTTCTTGACTCTGTCGATAAATATATTAGTTCTTTAAGAACACTTGCTGATGGTAAACTTCTATTAGAAACTGATAGATCCGCTGGCTTTCTAGGTTTAAAAATATGCATTGCAAGCCTAAAATTACTATACAATAATTTAATTGTAGAACATAAGTTTTTAAAATTTTTGCCTTTGTACAAAATTTCACAAGACAATTTAGAATTATTTTTTTGTTCAATACGGTCTCATGGAGGTTTTAACAATAATCCTACAGTCAGGCAATTTCAGTCTGCATATAAAAAATTTTTAGTTCATGTTGAATTAAGAGATAGTTTCCGTGGAAATTGTATTTCTTTGGAGGAATTACCTATTTTAAAGTGCAATATAACAAGCCAGTTAAATATTACTTCAAAGGAATATGCAATGTCTGATAATATTGACGATTTTAAGAAAGTGAATGTTATTGAAAATGATCATGATTATTTACCAGATCCAGTCTCCTCCTTTTCTAAATATATAATCACTTACATTTCTGGATATGTTGTTTATTATTTAAAAAAGAAAATCATTTGTGAACAATGTCTAGATGCTTTAATAAGTAAAACTAGAGATTTGTTTCTATTTTCATTCATTGATATAAAGAATAAAAATGGTTTGCAATATCCATCGGAAGATGTAATAAACATTTGTTTAAAATGTGAAAAAATATTAAAAATTATGAACGTCTCTAAGAAAAAAATATCAGTTGATATCATCAGCACATTAGTTTTAAAAGAATTCATAAATTCTAATGTCTTTTCGAATATTATGCAGCACAGTTTGGACCAGTTTGTGTTGGATAATCATAGAATATTATTAATCAAGTGCATAGTTGATAAATATGTTAGTATCCGACTAACATATCTCACTAAAACTAGAGTTAATAAAGCTGCTAGCATAAGACATCAAAACAACAAAATAGTGTTGTTTAAAGGTCAATAAATATTTTTTTAAATAATAATTTTTTTTTGTAATGTCTTATTAAGGAGGTCCTTTCGCCACCCCTTTCACCACCAATGTTAAATAAAAAATATTAGATTATGACTAAAATTTATTTTTTTTTCTAATAGTTCTTATTTATCTAATGTTAAACTTTTAACTATACCTTACCGTGCAAATTTTTGAGAATTTTTTTTTAATGTATTTGTACAGTGTCTTACGAGAAAATAAGACCTCAACAACAATTCTCGAATTATATTATTATGTATTGATTAGATGGAGTAGAAAAAAACTAAAAATAGGGTTTTTGAAATATTTAGGTTTTGTTTTTTTCAATAAAATATATAGGTTACCTTGGAATTTATTGAGAAATTAATATAAAAAAAAAATTTGAAGTAAACTAGTTGAAAATTTTTTGTGATTTTTTTAATATTAATTTCTCAATAAATTCCACGGTAACCTATATATTTTATTGTAAAAACAAAACCTAAATATTTCAAAAACCTTATTTTTAGTTTTTTTCTACTCCATCTAATCAATAAATAATAGTAAAATTACTTATAATTCGAAAATTGTTGTTGAAGTCTTACTTTCTCGTAAGAAACTGTACAAACACACATTTTAAAAAAAAAAAATCTCAAAAATTTGCACGGTAAGGTATAGTTAAAAGTTCACTATTAGATAAATAAGGACTTCTACTATTAGAAAAAAATTAATTTTAGTCATAATCTAATATTTTTTATTTAACATTGGTGGCGAAAGGACCTCCTTAAGAATAGGACACAGAAAAACTGAAGAGTTACCTATAATTTTACCAAATTTGGCAAAAGTTTTTGGTATCATAAGATACGTTACACTTATTTGAACTATAATTATATATTTCTTGATGTTTTTTAAGTAAATCATATAGGTACTT